TCAAGAGGAATCCGCCGTCGTCCTCTGGTGAATTGACTTTCGAAGATTTTCGCCAAACACTCTCACTCGAAATGGAATTAAGCTCAACAAAAGGCTAAAATATTTATAAAGATAATACTAATATCCTTGAAAGCATTATGCTTATTTTTTATGTGTAATTGCGGTCATTTGGTTAGGCATCATAAATAGACTAAGAAGAATCTTAGCCGATGGCCACTAGAACTGTTATGAAAATCTACGGTAAGAGTACTCTTAATTTTCATTTGGATTTAGTTTCTTATTTTGCTCCTAGCCTACCAATCCTGAATAAGTCCATAACAGGATAGATGTGGTTCTTGTGCCCCCATCTAGAAAGAGACTGTCATGGCGACATAATGTTTGAATTCTATCTCTGCCGGAACTCACCTGAGTCTGGTCGTATTTCTGACGGACCCTCAATGCGACTAGGTAACGCAAATGACCTCTCAACAGGCGATGCCTTAACATCCATCCCTGCAGCCGATGCACTCAATTGCACAGCCGTCTGAGCAGCTTCACTGGCCAACAGGCGCTCGATCAAGACGACCCGGCGCACATCCCGAAGACCCTGATAGGCTTGTCGGGCGGCCACAACAACCGGGCACCGGCTGACAGGAAGTCCGCCGTTGAGATGGCCCATGTTGGCTGCTGCCTGCATGGCTCGACGATAAGTTGTGTTCAATTCGGGCGTAAACTGTAAAGGATGCATACAGAGGTGGATAAGCTATGATTCTGATAGGCCAAAAAGGTTGTATAAAAGATCATATTATTTGAAGGACTGACAAATTAAAAGTCTTCTAGACCGAAGGCGATGCTCATTATAGGTCGTGGCAGTGATTGAACATCACCCATAAACACCAAAATTTAGCATACCGAGTTTAATAAGAATAAGCACGCTTATGCATTGTTAATAAATTCCCCATTATACATGTGGGTTGAAAGAGGCCTGCCTTGCTAAGAATGTCATGCTTATCTTGAAATTCACATTCACTAGGCTCGTGTGACGTATTGGATACTATTTGTTTCTGAATATAAATATACACGTCTCAACTCCTGATAGGAATCCTTGATTAACCGAACCTTGGTCGGCCTTTAGGTTTACCGAACAAAAAGATCTCAAGATTACATAATCAAGTCTTTTCTCCAGTTAATAATGCGAAGAGTCTTTTTCGGTCAATGTCGTAAAATTGGATATTCTATCAAAAATTATCGCAATGAATGTAATCATTTGCAAATGATGCTTTCATAAATTAGTGGTGAGCATACTAACATTGAATTTATATATGTTAGCCAGTAGATATGAAGATCAAGATTGCGCGGCCTTAAGCATGATTGCAGTCGCCTTTCGGTGCACAGTAATGGTTTGCCCTTGTTTTACAACTAGGTGAATGTGAAAGAAGGACATTGAAGAGCGTACCAGGTACTGTTTAATTTGCATTGTAATTTCCAGTATCGAACCCTTAACTTGGTAAGTTCTCAGACATTTCACCGGCATCCATCGGCGACATCTTAAGCACCAAGAAACGACTAGTCAGTAGGACAAGTGTTCTAGCTCATAATTCTGTATCTTTATCTTTCAATCGCGTTTATATGGCCAATTTACTTATCTATACTAAAGGCTCTGCATAAAAATGGATAGAGGGATCTCCTGGAAGACAATAGAAAGAAGGACCTCGCACAGATCAAATACAAGGAAACAGGAGATGAAGTAGGCCGTAGATATCCTTTTAAAGAGAACTGTAATGGAAATAAGACTAACGGGAAAATTAGCAAAAATTTTGCTTACTGATCAAGGAAACTCTGAGCAAACAGGAAAAATACAAGATCAGCAAAACGGAGATGCCCGTATCAGGGTGCAATAGTTTATCAGACGAAAAGGA